TATCAAATGATTTTTCTTGTATTTTATTGTACATTGTATATATGTATATACATATGTATGTGTGTGTATAAGTATATTTATTTGCGTCTGCAAATGCAATTCTGCACATTTGTATATATTATATAATATATATGTACATATATTGTTGTAAAACAAACTTGAATGTCCTTGCATTTTCTTCTTTTGCCTTTGTACGTTTGTTTTAGTGTTCCCTGGTGAATACCAGTGAATAGTGACCACATTTGAACACACACATATATATGTACACTATGTTTTTATTATTTTGTATTATCTCTATTGTATTGATTTCTCTTTTGAAAGTCTGGAAGCACAGGCAGCAGTTTTTGAGGACAATAAAGACTAAATACAATATCAGTGGGTATGAAAAGGAAAAGTATACAAACATTTGACAAAACTAATTAAAGTGAAATTTTTTATAAAGATTTTCCTTTTTAAAGAAGTGAATTGAGAGTTGACTTTTTCGATGGAATTGAATTGAGATACATTTTGACTTCTTTTTGACTACTCTTGGTTTAAGTCCAAAAATATGAGTATAAAATCCATACAAATGACTACAAGTAACTTCAAGAATGATTTTTATTAACACTGATTCACACAAAAATACTTATTCGATACGCATTGTTAAAAACTACAAATTCACATAAGTTCTCCATTATTTATTTATATTTTATTTATTTTTACACTCGTATTTTCGCAGTATTATTGTTTTTTCTCCTTTGCTCGAAAATTTTATTAAGAATTTCAATAAAACAAAAACATCAACAATTTTACATAAAAGATGAAAAAATTAAATTTACATACATATGTATGTATATTTATAAACGTACATGTGAAACTTTAATATTTATTTTCAAGTACAATATTTTGTTTGGTGGTCAACGGTATAGTAAAACTTTTTTTTTTTACCTGTAAGTATATGAAAATCTCTTAAATAAATTCATCCATAATATATGTATATTTGTATGTTTGACTTGCAGTTATTTTTATTTTAAATTTAAAACATTTCTTAAATTTATATTTTTGACCACGGGAATTTATATATATATATATATATATATATATATATATACAATATATACTTTTTTAATAGCGACCATATGCGCATAAACATTTATTTATTTCGTTAATTTTACATTTATTCTGAATGCATTTGATTATTTTTAGCTTTCGATTTAATACTATTTATTATAAATGTTAACCAACTTTTAAGGGTGAATTATTACGTTTTATTTGCTTGTTTTCTTTAAACAAGGCTTTCTCTTTTTCAAGCATCTTTCGAAAATAATGCCGTTATAAATAATATATGAGTTTCGGAGTTACATACATATACATGGGTTTCTAAAACGATCTACAGTGTATGCTGGCGCGCTTGTCGAAACGCTGGTACATACGATCTCTTCTATTCCAAGGCGTTTGACAGGGCGTATGAGTAATCATATTTGTTCGTTACGTTTGCCACTTGATAAAAAACACCGAAAGACGCAGCTTCAAGCAATATACAAATAAGTGGATTTGAAAATTGAATAATCTTGTTTTCAGTGTGTTTCAAAAGCGCTGCCATATTCAAAATGTACAAGTTAAACGAAAATAATTTTACTTCCTTCTCAGAAATTCTTTGTTACTACGTTTTTCTGAACTGAATTCTTGTTGAAAAATAACTTTTTTTGATAGCATCAAAATAAATAATACACTTAAAACACTTAAACTTAGTTTAACGGACAACAAATATAGAAACCCAAACCCAAAAGACCGCAACATTCCCAAAAATTGCTATGAGGAATATTTTTGCGCATACAAAAACAATAACAGCAAAAGCCACAAATGAAACTTAAACAACAATGCAATTATTTACTAATAATAGAAAATCAAATTCTGCTAAGTACTTTATTTCATTGGCATCATTCCTACCCAACACTGAGAACAATTTCATTTTTATTACAATTTAATGAAAAAAATAAAAATGGAAATAGGTTAAAAGGAATATATGTGGCACTTAAATAGAGCTATATGTGGGTGCTATGATAAGTTAGAGTTGAAGTCAACTCTACAATTTTATTAATCAATAACCCAACTAAATCTCTACATAAACCTATATAAACTTATCATCTATTTTTCAAAATGCATGCTCTTTGTAACAACTACAAAACTTTACTCAGCACTTTAATAAATTGAAAATTTTGCATGGGGTACAGATTTTGTACTTTGAAATTCAGCTCAGAGTTACCAAATTGATTTCAGTTCCTCGGAATGAATACACTCGCAATTCGTAGGTAACTACTTTATATGCTTTTTTTCTCACTTGCATGAAAATTATTACAAAAACGATTTTAAAATAAAAAAATAAATAAATATAAAGTTTTATAACTATTGAATAAAAATTCAGGGTGCAGTGGATTTCTGACTTTCGCCTCGATTTTTGCAAACTTTTGTTTGATTTAACATCTTAAGCTGTATTTATAAACCAAAAAAAATAGATTGTCTATTTGATTTAGTAAAATCTGTGCGTGAGCATTAATTTTGCACATACTAAATTCGCAATCAATTGTTATGCCCACTTTGAATTTTCATAGGCAAGTCATAGAAAATAAATGTAGTGTACTTTCTAAAAACGTTAAAATTGTTAGCGAAAAGGCATTTGTGGTGAGTAATACAAATTTCTAAGTTTATTGTAAGTGGAAGACTCGCAACACAAATTTCCGTGATTGTCCCATTTTTTAATTATTTCATTATAATTCAAATGACAATTGTTTATAAATAAGAAAAAAATGTTTTTATTAACCAAAACTAAATTTATTCTAATAAAAATGAAAACAAGTTTTAACGGATTGTTAAATAAAATCACAAATATATTTCAAATAATTTTTTTTTTTATGTAGTAAACAATATTTTATGCATGAGAATGAAGGCGTGTATGTACGTTTGTGTTTTTGTATGTATGTTTATTAAATGGGCATATCGTTTTATATTGATTTGGCATTTTTTTTTTTTCAATTCCATTAGTTATGGCAAGCTCGATGGAGTCAAGTATACAATAATATGTATGTATGTATGTCGTATAATATGTTTTTGCAATCTTGTACGGTAATTGAATGGTTATTTGGATGTGAAACTTTATCGCTTCTATTTTTCGGCAGTTTCGAAGAATTTCGCAAATTTTCTAAAAGCTTAGCTCTTCCATATATGTATGTATATATGCACATACTTATATATATATATATATATATATATAAATAAGTACGTACGACTTATCTGCCTTTAGAAAGTTAATTTCAAACATGTACTATTGTTGGCGGCCAAGTGGTCTATATTTGCCTATTAACATTCGAAAAGCCAGGGTTGGGAGTCCTGGTTCGTCAACATCCAAAATTATAAAAAAAAAATTAAATTATACTATTACGGTCGCCGACCGGCGGGGAATGTTAAGCCCTTCGAGTGTATTCCCGACATAAAATAAAAGCTCACCACAAGAATCCTTCAACCGTTCGCAGGCGGCTTAGAATAAAATGTAGGTCAAAAGGCACACCACAAATTGGCAGAGGTGCAAGACCGAAAATCGCTTTAGTGTTCAAGATAAGTCACTTAAGCCACATCTTCCAACCATTTTCGGCAAAATTTTAATTTCAAATCTTTTTGTATTCGTTTAAAGAAGCAAAATGGATGAAACTCTGGGTGTTTTTTTTTTCAACTTTGAAGCTTTTATGTCTACATTCCGTGAAACAGACTTGACGAAAAGGCTTTAAATGTTGGCTATGTTTTTGCAATTTATTGTGAAGAGCTAACATTTTTGGATAATTTAAGAAATAAAAGCAATATGTTTTTGATAGGGGATTCCTTAGAAAGTTCATGAAATTATCACCAAAACATTTGTACAGACACTTAGCAAGCAGATCAATAGGAATATAGAAAATTAATCAAAACAACTAATTTTTACTGCTTTTCGGAGTGAACTTGATTGTCTTAACCTTCATAAAGAGTAAAAAATATATTTTGTCTATTAGATAATTTCCTGAACTTTTCATAAATCGCTTATCGTAAACACAATAATTCGACATCAACAGAAAGGTATAATTATGTTACGATTCCGTTACACATTATTACAATAAAATGACTGATATCCACGGCTTACTCAAGAGCCATGATACTTTCGTCAGATAGTGCGCCAGATAATAAATCTTAAAATTTTTGATGCCAGTACATATACATATGTGTGTATTTATTTCAAGAAAAAATTAACAAAATTGCATACATATATATGATATATATGCATATATCTATGTATGTAACGATCCGTTTTATATTTCTACTGAGTTTTTTAAAATATACAGATAAATTTTCATAAGTTCATCTTTTGCCCGCCACATGTCACGCCAATTACTCGTACTCGTATGAGTTGTTGAACTCGCTTCCCTCATCACACTTTACTTAAGCTAAATATATAACACTTTTCTAAATATAGTACAGGTGTAATTGTTTATGTTTAGGATAATTATTATTATTAATTAAGTTCAATATATTGGTAAGCCAACATTCTTTAATTTAATTTAATTTAATTTAATTTAATTAATTTCTTTATGTTTAATAATGACAAATACAATTGATTTATTTTAGTTTATGCTTAGTTGATATTTATTGTAAATAGTTCTTAATTAGTAGTTTTATTCAATTATTGTTCAATTTGTTGAAAAATATTTGTGGGATATATCAGTTTGTACCCTTATATACGATTTTCTAGGTATGTGTACGTGTTTGATTTCAGTTTTTTTGTATATACGAGTAAACATACATATGTAGATAGTAGATTTAACTGTTAAACTCTTTCAAATATATATGTTTAGCTGTATGAAAAACAAAAAGATGATTTTTAATTATTTACAAAATATCTATAAATATTTTTTTTTCTTTTCAACAGCTTCTTAAGTTTTTTTTTTAAATTTTCTAAATGAAATACATATTATATATAAATAAATTACATCGTCCAGTTAACATTTTTTATTTATGGTTTTTAATATTGGCTTTTAATGTATGTAACTATTTTTTTATATAATTTGTTTAGCAAAGGAAACACATTTTGGCACATTATTCAGTTTCAGTTCAATAAATTTAAATGTCGCTTTGTTTGTGCAATACTTCAATCTCCGATTTGCTTAAATGTGCATATATTGCACATACATACATATATAAGTCTAAATCTTGGTATATTTTTACTCAATTGTTTTACAAAAAAATAAAAATAAAAATAAAAAAACGGTGTTCTATTATTTCCTCCATTCATCTATTATAAATATTTGTATGTGTATGCATAATAAATCAGTTTATATATAGAAGCAATATTTTTTTTAGAAAACATGACGTGTAAGAAAGACGTTTATGTACAGAAAATTTGCATAAAAATTTACGTTTTATGTATGCATAAACATACATACATTTGATTGTATGTCTGTATGTAGTATGTATGAAAATAGCTGTTAAGTACGACACAAAGAGGTTTATGCTTACGAAAATCTTGTTACAAATGTATGCAAGTAATCATTTTATCTTCATATATCTAATACATATTTATATATGTATGTATGCATGTATGTTTGTGCAAAGATACACACTTTTCCAAATATTGTTTGTTCACTTATCAATTAAACCGTTTTGCATATTCGCTTATCGAATTATTATCGTTTAATTTGTATTTAGGACACATGACGGAAGCGTCGTCGAGGGAACTTGCCAACGGGTACGCTTGTATACTTGTGTGCATGTGTGTGCTTTACAGCAAGAGTAATCTCAATAGTCAGTATTAACTTTTGCCACAACAAAACATTAATTTGCTGTGCTCGTGTTTGGGGTTTTTGGGTGTGTGACATTTATCCTTTTGTAGTAACCGTACGGTTGCCGCGAAGCAGAATATGCATTATGAACGCACTGGAACGGCGTATTTTGTTTTAGATACTTGTGCTAGTGTGCCGATTGATTCCACGCTTGCGCCGGTATCCGCCCGGACTACGCTGCCACCACTAGTTGTTGTTTTTCCAACGTGAAAGAAGTTCCTTCCAACGATTCTTGCGGCGCCTACTTCAAATTTGCCATATCAATAAATGATTGGTGCTATCCTCACGTCCGGCAATTTCGCTCAAAGAATTCGCGCCCGAATTTCGGAAATCCTCATAACCATCACCACCCGAAATCACCAGTATGGTGCTTGACTCTGATTTTGGCTTCGAATGTTTGGCGCCACTGTAAAGTGAGAAACAAATATTAATTGTAACACCTCTTTCAACTAGCCATCCCTTAAGTACTCACCTTTGACTGCGGTAATCACTACTACTTACTGCACCTTCGTTTTCGCGACCTGCTGAGCCGGTACTACTACCACTGCCTTCGGCACTTAGACCGCTCGTCTCAACGAACGTTAGGAAGCGCACGTGTCCCGTGTGGCCGTGCGGAATGCCCGTCGGTACTACACTTTGAACGCCCTTTTCAAAACCTTGCGCCGGTATGGTGAGCAGCACACCCGCACTGGTGCCAATCCAGATGAGATCGCGGCAGGAGAGCAATGATGTGACGCGCAAGCAAGCAGCTTTATGTTGGCGAATTATTTCATCGCAATTTGATAGCATTTTGTTCACAGCCGGCGCCAAATTCACTTCGGCTATTAATTGATGACTGAAATGTGTGATATAACGGGTGAGATGCAATTGCAAATAGGTGTAAGGACTGTGACTTTACAAAAACCAATTGACAATAATTGACAAATGGTTTAATTAAAACAATTAACGATAGTTTTTCTTCATTAAATACTTAATTGCAAAAAACTCCTACCAACAAAGAAATATATCACAAATTGTAATTAAAAGAATCCCAACAACTATTAGTCCTTGCGCACCACGCAAAAGCTCAGCTTAAGATGGTAGGGAATTTTTATATATTTATAAAAGAGAAATTTCCGATACCCAAATGTGCAACTGATATGAGATAAGACCTTCGGAAGAAAACAAAATGACTTGAAAAAACTTGTCTATCAATATTTTGTGAAAGTTTTCCAGAATTTTCTCGGAAACCATAAATCACAAGTTAGAAAAAAGTAATAAATGAGCTTACAATGTTGTATGCAGCTTCTGGGTCATTGAAAATATAAGCAAATGTGGGAGCTGCCAATGGCCAACAAGGTGAGAGGTTCCATTACGGCATTTCCTTAATAGAAAAGCGTTATCAAGGGAAAATGGTGTTCAGGAGGTTGCGCTGGTGTTCGGCAGTTTGCGCAAGCGGCGGTTAATCGTTATTTCATTTTGCCAGCCCAAAGATGCGGTGTGAAAAGTGAGCTAGAATAGCTGGCACATCTCTTTGGGTTGGACGAGGCGCGGTTACCGAATGCAATTTCCACTCGGTCATCGTGTCTCGTCGGGTTTCACAGAGCCAGATGAGAGATTGCAGGATCTTAAATGCTCCTCCTGCTTTTTCCGCTTATGGGTATTTACTATTCACCGAATCTCTTGGTTGATATCCCTGATTGGAGAATTATGGGGATCAGCGTGGCGAATAGAGTCGTGCCGAGATGCTAAAACCGCCGTTTCCGTCGGGAAATTAGCGCGGATTTCCACAGTTCGGGCTACTGGTATGAAGCGGGCGGCAACGGTCACAACGATCCTGTAGAATAAATAATCACCGCATGTGACGTCGGTAGGCCCGTCAATCCAGATTAGGGCCTTTATTGTTCATCTGTTCCGCCAGCTCCATACCTCGACGGTCATTTGATAGGCTATAATGCCAAAGATATTGATGCGCGTTAAAGCCGCCAAAAACCAAACGGTTTTCACCTCTGAGAAGCGCACCCATATCATAGCTATATACAACTGGACAATTTGAAACTGGAGGAATGTATGTATTAGTTATTTCAAGCCCGACGCCGCCTAACCGGATAGCTATACCCTAACATTCTGGGTCAATGTCGCTATTGCTGATGCGTTGCTGTTTAAAATGAGCGCTAACCACCCGCTATGGTCTCGCTCGCGGTCCTTACAGATAATGTTGTATCCAGTCGTGTCTATCTCGGCGGAACGTTCGTAATACGAGAGGTGAGGGAGTGATGAGTAGGTGTAGTGCATTGTTGCTGTAATACCCGCTGTATCAAATGCTGCACGCCGGAGTTGGTTGGCAGCGATGTTGTAGATATGGCGGGGCAGACTCCTACAGCATGGGGAGCCATTCGCATCACTTTACTCACGGGTGGTGCGCCAAAAGCAGGAGTTGCATCTGAGTGATGTCATATTGCACCGCACCATGGCCAGAAATACGGTACAGACTGTGTGGAGAACTCGGAGCTGCTTGGTAGCCCTCGCACGGTCGATTGGTGGGAGTCATACTGTTGGTAGCTCCGTGAGATCATAGAGATCTGTGGGGGGTTACCCAAAGTGGAAAAAAACTGGGTAAAGGTGCTGAATGTACTGCCGTAGAGGCTGGGGTGCTTTTGACATATAACTTGCAGACCACTCCCTGTGTATCTTAGAGCCAGAGCAGACCTTAAGTTGGCTCAAGCCATTACACTGGTTACTTCTAACCGAAATGGAGGAGTGGTGGAGTCTTTTGTGACACAAACAGCAGAAATAATTCGTCGGAGCGGGGTTGGTTATTAGAAGGATTTGGACTAATGTTACCTGTTAACCTAAACGAGGATAGATCGCCGAAAGGGTGACAGGCCTAGGCCGGACCAAATCCTAGTCAACTCCGGTGCGTAGAACCGGCTGTCGTGATAGTCGAGTTAAAAGAAAACAATATTCCTGTTCGGTGATCTGATCGGCAGTAGCAACTATTATATATACATTTTTTTCATTTTTTACTAACCCCTGCGGGTTAGGAGTTCTAGATTTTGTCCGCGGTAAGACATACCCGCTATAGGACTGTCACTCCCGAATATTATTGGGGCTGCTTCAACATCAACAACAACCAATTTTTGCCGAACCCTGTTCGGTGAAGCAAAAACCCAGTAAAATTAACACCGAGAGCGGAAATTAGACATTTCTTAGTTCTTACTGACATTTCTCACCGAATAGAGCGAATAAGCCGATTTAGCGGTACAATACCTTAGAGGCGGACTGAAAGCTACTGGGAAATTGAGCAATAAATATTGTTAAACTAAAGAAGTGTCTCAAAAGCAACATCAAGACATTAGCTAAAGCGCAATAAAATATAATATTCAGCTTGAGAAGACTTGCTAAAAATATCGACATATGAAAATTGAAGATTTACCTCATGGAATGAAAACATTTGATATGCGCCGAATTTTGTATCGAAATCCAGACATAATTATTTGATACCGTCATGTTGGTGATTGGTTTCGAATCAGATGATATTTGTATTTGGTTGACCACCTTGTGAGTGTGAGAAAAAAATAAATGTCAAAGAAAAATATTTCATTGTGTTTATAGTAAGTATGTACATACATATGTAGAAAATCGATAACTGATAGATTAATAAATTTATTTGCTATTGTATATATTTGAATCACGTCGCAATTATCTTATATCATTTTTTTACAGAAAACTTTATAATAACTTAATACAATTAACAATTGGCGTTCTGCAATCGTTGAAGCGATTTTCGGCCAAAATAATTAAAGTCATTTTACTAAATAATTATACCGAAAAACTTATCAATTCAGCATAAAGACAGGCACCACGACTTCGGAAGAATAGATATTTCGAGTTATTACGCCTTAATGAAAATCTTGAAATTTTTTTTATTATACTAACTATTAATAAATTTTTTAATGGCAAATATTTTTCAGTTTTACTTTCGTCTGCTATATTCTAGTTTTGTTTTATTCTAAATTTTCAGTTGAACACAAGAAAGAACTATTTCATATTCACATCGATTTTCACATCGATCGCCAAATTGAAAGTTTCTACTTACCAGCAGGGTCTCAGTATCTAAAACCTTTATAATACCCTGAATAGAGCACCACAGCTTTCCATGCACGTTAAGTAATTTGGTAACGGGACTTGTTACGGAACCGATTGAAAGACAATGTGACGAACTAGTATTCCAGGCAACTAAAGAAATTTAAAAAAAAAATATAAATTAACTTAAAGATATTCGATACATAATTTTCATTTATATTGTAATCAACAACATTTTTAGCAAAACTTGAGAAAGGAGTTCGAAAAAAATGTACACGTATACCATGTTTCTTGAGGCAAACTCGTTTTCGCTGCTAGACCTATCGAGACTGTAATTCGCTCAGTTTGTAAAAACAAGTCTTACCCGGGGGTCACCTTTTATATTTCGATATTAGAGAACAAAAACACGTACTAACAATCGAAAATCACTTCATTGTTTACGAATAAGAGCTCTACACTGTTGCCACTTTTGCCGCTTCTTCAGATGACGAAACTGAACTCTCAGTTTATTTTATATATATGAGAGCTATACTTATATATGTATATATAAGTGCACCAGTGTATATATATATATGCTCTCAGTACCCCCTACGGGTTAGGGGCTCAAGAATTTACCCGCTGTAAGGCATGCATGTCGTAAGAGGCGACTAAAATCCAATACGAAACGGATTTTTATCCGGCCAAGGACTGTCACTCCCGCAACATTCCCCAAATTTTGCGGTAACAACAACAAAAACATATACTCTCAGTTTATTTTATATATATATGAGAGCTATATATATATTTGGCGCTTTGTAACCGCTTAAACGAATTTTCGCCGAGCTCCTCCTCCAATTTGTGCTTTTGCGTCATGATAGGATAATGATTTTTTTATGAGGAGCTTTATTTCTTGCCATAAATGCACTCGAAGGGGTTGACATTCCCTGCCGAGGGGCGACTGCAACTAGAAAATTTAGCTTAATTTTTTATTTAAATTAATTTTCTATAACTTTTTTTTATGTTAATACGACATCAGGATTTGAACCCGAGTCTTCCGTAATACTAACCACTCGACTATCGCGGCCGCCAACATAACAAAGAAAATTTTATGGAAATTGCTTCCCAAATTCTGTAAATAAGTCTGAGCGGCAATTTTAATTTTATTAAAAATCTGGCTGAACGCACTGCCAAATTTTTGTTTCCACTGCATTTCTATTCGGGTGTGCCAGTGGTGTGAAAATGAATAGAACAAAAGTGTGAAACACAATAATGCAGTCCTTCCAAGGACAGCTTGAATCCTGGCCACACATGATGAGAGGCTTATAAGTGGAAGCCGAGCAAGTTTTTCGAAATGTAGCTCTTACTTCCGAAGAGCAATGACAAATTATTTTCGACATCAAAATGCGTGAGAGAAGTGAAAATTGCTCGAAATCGACTACGTCCGACGGCACATTTATTTTTTTCGGAAATGTAAAAAACTGTTTGCTCATGACTGTAATCTTAAAAGTACTTACCGCCATCACGCAAATAAACACATATATCACCGTTAGCTAAGGAGACAAACACTCGATTATCCAAGTACCTAGAGAGCATATTAAAGTTGTAAAAAAAAATTAGAAGGATTTTACTGAAATTAGCTTCGTTCACTTATTTTTACTCACAATATGGAATACACAGCCGACTGATGTTCAATCTTTATTCTGTTCTTCTTAATGCGTATATTGTCGGTGCTATTGTAGACATGTATACAACCATCCTCGGTACCGATCCACATTGTTGACAGATTTCCATCGCCTTCATCCGGATTGGAGTCCTGCAAAAATCGGAAGAGCCTAATAGTAGTTTATTTTATTAAAATTTATATCGCTTTACTTGATGCGAGTGATGCGATGGTGTGCCGCTGCTGCTGCTACCCGGCAATGTTACCGAGCCGACCGTCTGCGTTGATGGGGCCGGACTTGGTACACGTTCGATTGTGCCGCTACCATTACTACTCACAGCGCCAACACTGCAGCCACCAATGATACCCGTATCGGTCTCGTCATCACTAGAGCTTAAGTTTAAGTCCAACTGATTGTCAGCGCTAGGCTCGCCATTTGCATTGTCTGCACCGGCAGTTGCATTCACTGTGCCTACCACCGATGCCGATGGCGTTTTTTTCTTTTCAGGTGTACCAATAGTAATAGGCGGTTGGAAGTTCGGCGAGATACTTTTACGATAGTCGCGCAGTTGTTGTGTGTAGCTGTGCTGTGGTGTCGTGCTGGCACTTCGTGGGTGTGCTTGTTGCGCTGGTTGCTGCAACTGAGTTCCACTGCCTGCTGAGTTTACAACGTTCGGATTGTAGGCAGGTACTGAGGCGACGCATAGTATGCGCGCATTGCAAACACCATTGCAACTGGTGACATTCGGCTCGGGGTACAAGGACATTATGCATACTTGCCCCACGTACCCGTCACTGTTGCACACCCACACATCGCGTTTTTCACTCAACGTAGCTGCAGCACAAGTGAACTGTAAGCCGGCACGTGTTTTGCGTATCGGGATTGACATCAAAAACTCTGGAATGGGATGTCGTTCGAGGGTGGCAGCTGAAAAATGCATATATAAAAACATTTTATTAACAATCTCTATTGATTAAATTAATTTTAGTAGTAAAAAATCTTGTAATAACAGGAAAGTTACAATAAGTGTGCACATAAATGGTAGATAAAATTATTTAAGACTAAAATACCCACCCAACTTCTGTTTAGCTTCATTGAAGGTCTCCTCCCACTGAGTGCGTTTCTCAGCTTTGCTGAAGACGATCGACAGTTTTTGACTTCCATTCCTAGCATGAAAAAGAAATACAAAAAAGTGTGAGTAAATGTTCTAGAAGCATTATCAGCGACGTCAGCATACGGCGAGTTAACAAGCAATTCCAGCATATTCAGTTGTGCGTCATTGGTCTGACGCTCCGATAGCTGTCGTTGCACATCTCTCAGCAGCTCACGTATGACATCCTCAAGATACTGATGTGGATACTTGAGTGATGCCGTGATGTCGGCGATTTGTTGTAGTTTATTACAGTCTTCGGCCAAATTTTCGATTTCGTTCATTATGCGCTTCACATTTTCATCTTTAGCTAGAGTGTGGAGAAAAAAATATCCTTAATTTCAAATCGAATGGATGGTTAATGGTCAAAAATAACTTACTCTTCACAATTTCCAAGCAGTCCAGAGAGATCTTTGTAAGAAACTTGTATTTGTTGGTGTCTAATGTGGAAGCTACAGTCCCCGGGCAGGTAGAGCTGTAGAAAGTATTTACATAAATTGCATATCTACTTATATATCACTTCATACGCATAAATGATAAATACTTACGGATTTGGCTTTCGTATGGTGCCGCTGCGCTTCTTGATACTTGTCAACACCAGGAGATCATTGAATAAAAAGAAGCCACGTTCTTTGCGTGCGCCCTGACCAGACGGCATTGAAACCAAATCGAAGAGTAAAAATTGTCGGCCGGGTGTTATCAGATCCGTTATGCCCTCGATAACACCTTCAAGCTCTCGCAAAGTCGCCTCGCGCTGACCATTTTCCAGAATCTCGCGTTCCTTGCAATTAATATGAACGAGAATATCGTGAACAAGTTTAAGTACGTCCTGCAAATGCTTCTGATCAGGATGATCACGATCAGTGTGCTTTATGAGTCTTTGGAAGAGCATTTCATAACTGCAGAGCGAAAGAGAACCAACATAAAACGATTAGTTCACAAATACTTTATGTTCTTTGCAAAAAAAAGGACTTACTTCGGGAACTTCTGAACTGGTTTGATGAGTAAGTTGTCCAAAGTCAATTTGCCTTTATGCTCACGTGCCGTCATCTCCAAGAATTTCGCAAACGATGGCCGCTGATGTTTTGTAGAGCGGATAGCATTCTTTGCGCGATTGCAATTGTTCACAAAAGACGTGTACACTTCCAAAACCTCCAGCTTCGAAAACTATTGCGTTCAAGGTAGAAGGCAAGTAGAGAGGGTTATTAATTATGGCGCGCATATAGCAGACTACAGTGACTCACCGTTTCCAGGAAAACATCACCAACTTTCTGAGTCGCCTCCCAACTATCCCAACGCGATTTCAAATCGGCAAGAAATTTCTCGTGAATCTCTAGTATATCGGGCACCATAAAGAATATCTCATCCACAGTACGTGTGTCGATCATGCCAGCATGCTCGGGAGATTTTAATACCTTAAAATATTTTGTGACGATGGTCTGTAGCGACTCCACGTACGACTGCTCGTTACGCAAGATCTCCTGCACAACATGTGTGCGTGTGTCCTAAAAACAATAGATTTACAAAAATTAGTTGATGAAATTTATGTACGTGTATATATGACCATTTTTATTTTTAATTAATTTTCAATATCCTTTTCCGGCTGCACAAACTTTACTAGGAAATTATTCTCATTATTCTCAAATTTTCACTTACGCCATCGTAACCACGGTAATTCCAACGATTATTCATTTCTAATTGCGCCCGTCGTTCGGAGTCGTCCTCGGAATCGGAACAGGTAATCGATTGCATCTTCTTCAGTCGTTCACATTTATCGTTTTGATGTGCGACAATGACTTTGTTGATGCGGTTTACAGCCGTTGTGATGGCTTGATTGGCCATCACTGACATTGTTTGTGAAACGCTGATATTATTACTACTACTACTACTACCGTTTGATGTTGCTGGCGTGTTTTGTTGCAAATCAAGTAAGCTTAAGCGTAGACTTTCACGATTATGTGTCATTTTGTTGATTAATTATACTTATATATTTTAGTTAACTATATTATTTTATTTGATTTCTTACTTAGCTTAGATTATTTCTTTACTACTTTGAACTCTTTTATTATCTTTTGTTGTTGTATTGTTGTGAATTTTTTTAGGTAACATTTCAATTTAATTTAGTTATTAACAGCATTTTCCTTTGATGAGCTCTATAAGATGAATTTTTTTTTGGAGAATTCACATTGTATTATTTATACCCAAGCACAAAGTCTTTTTAAGCGGAATATGAAGTGTCCATTGCAGATAAAACAGATACGAAAGAAACTAAACTCAATAAAAATAGGATATTTTTATGGGTTGCAAGAAGGAAACAGCAAGTATTGCTGATTTCCTGTGAGTAGGACATTCGCGCCGAATAGGCAGCTCCACTTCTGGAATTACAAACTTCCGCAATAATCTTAGAATTCCTGACACATAAGACCATAAACTTTCAAAATGTCAACTAAAAATTTCCTCAAACCATTCACGCTAAAAGAAAAAATTTTTTGTAGAACCACATGCTTGATTTTTATCATCATCATTGGTGCTTAACTCCTTCCAGCTTTGAATAAAATGAAATTCATGATAGCAAGAATGAGGCCAAGAGGATTTATTATTAAAATATAATATCAGGACGCAGATAAAATAAAGGAAAATACAAAAGACGAATAGATTAACAAACTTGCCAGAATATGCGACTGGCGATGCCGTCTCGTCAATGAATTCATTCTACTACTTTAGCCTTACAGATGCGGTTAAAATTCTTTATAATTTTTGTAACAAACAATTCAAGGTACAATTCTCTCAAACAAGAGGAGAAACCTCCGTATCACACAATATTCAACTCGTGCAACTAGTCCCATGGACTAGCGCATTTACTTGCACATGCCATTCAACATCCCGCTTATGTTGCTCATACGCTCCCCACACTCCGTACACGTACCCGAATTGACAGCAAAATTCAATAATTTGCAATTTTCTGATAATAAGCAAATCGAATGAGAAATATAGACGAGCACATTTTCAAACAATTATTTATATAATCTTTATGATGCTATTCAAAATTTAGTCTCCTATTTTCTCCAATAGTACTATGCAAGTGGCCATTACACCTACGAAATATTGTATGCGCTCTGTGCATATAACAATGCATCGCTGCCTCGGGAAAGGTCATACCATGTTCAGTCTGAAATGGCTTTACAATTATTTTTATACTCCAGTTTTCATATACAAAATCACCCAGTGGACAGTGAAAGCGCAGTATGTATGTGTGAGTGTGAATGCTGTGTGTACTTCCACGTAGTGTACATATAAAATGTGCCAAGCCACTTGTTGATTTGCGCGGATAGTTACGCAGGTGAGCTCTTTATATAGGCCAAATGCAGGTAATGCATCATGCACTGAAGAAGTTAGAGGAAATCGTTTATTTAAAAGCTAAAGCACTTAGCGCGGGTATTTTTATATATAGATATAAATACTTTAATACATCCATGTACATATATGTATTTACATATACTCGTATAAGTGCATGAGGATGGTTCGAAAATATTTGGTATTTTACTTTTAAATTTCAGCAGGATTCACTAAATGAAGTCATCCGCCGCTCCTTGAAGTGATGAAGTGAAAAAAAGTTAGTTCAGCTAAGTGCTCCACATTGACGTCACAGAGCAAAACAGCTATTAAGCTTACAAACAAAAGGTAAATTAATTTGAGGCGGCAATTAAAATATGGGCGGAATGGTAATCATTTTGACTCGTTGACAGTTGAATTCTTATGCCGGATAACGGTTTCGAACAAGTTAGGATACCTAATAGCATGTGGCCTCACAGCAAGCATTACTAGACTTTTACAGGAATGGACTCTAGAACAGCTGGTATGCGTATTTCCTTTGGGTGGAATTAATTTTTACAAAACTCATTTATTTCAAACAAAAATGAATTTTATTAATCTCAAGTTTTATCCCAGCTGATTATTTGCTTTGGAAGAGCATTTTTATCAGGCATTTTAAATTTGACTTTACACAATATAATACAGGTATTTCCAATTCGTAGTGCTATTTTGATATTCAAAGAAGAATTTTTTTTGAAATATACGATCAATAGCTTCACAGATTCCATTTTTGAGGTCTTTAATCGATGTCGGCCTGTTGATGTAGACTTTTTCTTTCACCTGACACCAAAGAACGAAGTCGTAAGGTGTTGAATCACAAGATTTCGGTGGCCAATAGCGTTCAAACCTTCGAGAGATAAGACGGTCCGTAAAGATTTCCCTTACAAGATCAATGGTTTCGCTGCTAATCATCTCTCGATAGAGCAATCCTGTAATACCGTAACTGCTGCTCCAGCTTCATTTTCGAAAAAATAATGTACAATGACCCTGCCGGTCCATAAACTGGGCCAAACCGTTCCACATTGAGGATGGAGAGGCTTTTCAACAATAAAATAAATTCTGGGCTTTTCGAGTCTTCGATGCGTCAATTTTGCATATTAACGTAGCCAGCAAGATGTAAATGGGCCCCATAAGTCAGGATGATTTTTGGTTGAAATTACGGATCGTTTTCAGGCATTTCAAGGACCCAATCATCAAAACCACGACATTGGTAACGATCGGCCGGTTTGAGTTCTGGTGTTAACTGAACTTTATAAGCCTTCAGGCTCAAGTCTTTCAACGAAATACGCTGTAGTGATATTTCCAATTCCAAAGAACTACGAGGAATGAACAAATCTGGGTTTTCTTTGGGCTACAGCAGCAAAAAATCTCAGTTATTCTTGAGCGACGTGCTGGTGTTTTATTCTTCACATCACTTGCTACTCCCAGCAGCTCCGACAAGGTGCGTCACGATGATCGTAAAATGTTTTAAGTTTACCAAATGCCTCTGCTAGGTTTTCATTTTTTTTTGTTTTCATTGTTATTTTAATAATTTCCTAAATCAAGCTTGGTTCCATTTTTGCAACTGGCATAGTTTTTACCGTGACATCAATATTTGGAGGTAATTGAAACTAACACCAGTGGATTTGTGGTCGCTTCTGTAGAGTCTTCGCTAAGGGGCTTTAATCTCTGAGGTTGTAAATTTTTTACAGTGACTTTCATATTGAAAACCTTTTGCCTAAATTAGGGATCAACGAGTCCAAGTACTATTCAGTCTTCCTCTACTAAGACTTTCCCGCACCACCTTAATGTACGTGCAGAGTTGTTTTGATTATAGACCTTAACATGTATAACAGCAAAAGCGTTGGCTACAGCAACAACTGCAACTTCATATATATGCTTATACCCATCAGTAGCGAATAGCCAACATGCCTAGAAGGTTCGTAAAGGAAATAAATATAAAAAATATATGTTTTTCTCCTGCTTTTACTTTTTATTTTTTCAAAGTATTATTGTTTAGGTTGTCGTTTGTCAAGGCTGTCAGATTTTGCTCGAAACTTGTTTTCACCTTTTTGCTTATAGAGGTTGTTTATGCTTTCCTGGCGCTATTTACCACATATACACTCAGACACATACACATTATTATACACTTTGAAGTGGTTTACTCAAGGCTGCCAAATGCAAGAGCGCAGTAAGATATCGCATGTACTCGTATGTGTGTACGCACGTATATATGTATGTATGTAAAAGAATGGCGGTAAAGAAAATAACTAAGCAGGTATAGCACATTTTCATCCAAACAGTTATATGATGATTTGTAAGTACAAAACAATCGGAAATATTTTCAATTTTTTCCTTGTAGCCTTTTTGCTGTATAAAAGTTATCAACAAAGTCTCTTCGCCATCGATTTTCTCATATTTATTTATTTTCAAATTAAATATAATTTCTACAGATTCCTGTGTGATTGAAAAATATTATTAATTTTCAAACAAAGTTCTCACTTGAGAAACACTTTCACAGTACACAGATTTTTTAGCACTCTTAGCCATTTTCAAAGCATAAATTCCCACCAAGAATCAGTGAAATATTACTGAAATACCATTCACACAAGTGCCGTTGAGTAGAGAAAGGATTTAACTAAACATTAAGCTGCACAAATAAATGCGTTGCTGCAGGTGACTTGCTTTTCAGATATTGCAACAATATTTTGTATATATCTATATGTGTGTATGTGCCTCCATACTGGGCGTATGAGTGTCGTGCTAATAGAGCATATTGCAAGTACTCGTCACTAAGCAAGGCACACAATAACAGTAACACAATGTCTAGGCAGGAATAACGAAGTTAAGTGGCACGAAAACTATTAAAAGTTATGAGTACATACGTATGCACATATTTATGTATGTTTGCATAACGGCGCTATGTGTTCACTTGTAAACAACAAGTGTTGGAGAACAGACGCGGTTAGCAGCATTTAAGGGAGCAACAACAGCGGCCCACTTACGCTTGAGTAATCCATAAGCTGGCACTACACACACACACACACACACACACACACGTACACTTTTGTTTATGTACTCTCTGTTAAAAGCTGAAGAAAAAATACACTTCTGCTTGTCACCCCATTTAACGAAGGAGGGAATATAAATATGT